TAGGGAAAGGGTTTTCCTGAAGTGATGCGTCCTTTCATCTGTTTTGGCCTGCCGTGATTTTTGACTCAGCTTTTTGACTGATCATCTTCCGAGGTCTGGACTCGTGTCTAGGACTAAAGCAGAAAGCTGTCCTAGAGCTGGAGAGCTGTTGTGTGTTGCTGTCTGCTGCTGGCGCAAAGGATAATTAGATTTATTTACTTGCATATTTAAATGCAGATTGCTCACCCTCCCATCCTTCCACGTACCGTCCCTCCATGTCCAAAGGGGTTGGGGTCAGCTCAGATGTTAAAACCCAAGAGGAACTGGAAGGCTTCAGCCCTCCTTGTGTTGCTCCTCATCTTTCAGGACGTCCTTAGGGCTTCTCTTTCCCCTGTGGATCCTCAGCTGCTCTCCCACTTCCATGTTTTTTCTTCCTTGCAGCCTATTGCAAGAGAAGTGTTTGCTCTGATGCTCAGCCCTGGAACATATGCGCCTCTTCATTAATGCATAAGAGACGCTGTGGCTAATTGTTCTCATTTTCTGTTCAAATTAGGCATCTTTTAAATGTTGTTTATTGTTTGGGTTCTTATTAAAAGCCAAATTCTCCAAATGCTTATTGCTATCAAGAACCTTGCTGCTCACAGGAGCCCCTGCTGGGTGGGTTTTGAACATCTCCAAGGATGGAGACTATTTGGGCAACCTCATGGGCCTCCCAGCAGCCAAAATTGACCTTTTGCTAGAGAGGAGCAAGGATGGCTAACACAGGGCTTGTCCTCCGTGGCCTTGGCTGGGCTTGGGCATGGGTGGAGGCTCCCCAGCAGCAGCGAGCAGGGGGAGATTTCCTTACAGTCCTCTGCCACCCCTGCGGATCAGCGTAATGTGATGCTCCAAGGCTGGGAAACAATTCCTGGGTGAAACCAAAGAGCCCACCAGTAATGTTTTTTAAACTCACTCAGTCCCCCTCAGTATTATTTCCAGGTGAAGGAACACAACATGGGATAGAGTAAGCAACTCGCCCAAGGTCATCGGGGCTAAAGGGAGGAATTCCCTTTTCTAACCTCTATATACCAAGACAAATTAATATTCATAGAATCACAGAATGGTTTGGGTTGGAAGGGACCTTGAAGATCATCGAGTTCCAACCCCCTGCCCTGGGCAGGGACACCTCCCACCAGACCAGGTTGCTCCAAGCCCCGTCCAACCTGGCCTTGAACACCTCCAGGGATGGGATTCCAGAGCCCGCCGTGCCTGTGACCGCCTCCCAGGTCTGCCCAGACCTACAGAGTGGAGGTAATGGCCGGCAGTAATGGCGACGGATGATGGAGGCTACTCCCAGCCCAAGGGCTGGATGATTTCTTTGCATGAGCCTTTGAGCCCAGAAGCCTTCAGCGAGGCCAGAGCAGCAATGGCAGAGCTGTGCGTGTCTGCAAGAGACTGCCAGTGCCAAGACCCTACAGAATAAATAGGATTTCTTCATATTATATATGTATATTATCCATACTGCTTATGTTGTTTATATTTTTGTTTAATTATTAAATATTCACTTGTATATAGGATTTAGTTAGGTACTTATGCCCAAATAAATTCCCTTAGTAAACCAAGGGAAACAGTGGGAGGACACGCTCTTTCCTAGTGGTCTCCAAAAGTTAAATTACTGCCAGGGTAACATCTGGTTTGAAGCCATCGGTAGCAAGTAGGTTTGAAGGTGATCTGGATGGACCCATGTGAACCTCATGAGGTTCAACAAGGCCAAGTGCAGGGTGCTGCACCTGGGTGGGGACAACCCCCAGTATCCATACAGGCTGGGGATAAAGGGATGGAGAGCAGCCCTGAGGAGAAGGACTTGGGGGTATTGGTGGATGAGAAGCTCACCATGAGCTGGCAATGTGCGCTGGCAGCCCAGCGATCCCCCGGCATCCCGGGCTGCATCCCCAGCAGCGTGGCCAGCAGGGCGAGGGGGGATTGTGCCCCTCTGCTGCGCTCTGCTCTGGGGAGACCCCCCTGCAGTGCTGCCTCCAGCTCGGGGGCCTCAGCACAGGAGAGACATGGACCTGGTGGAGCGGGGCCAGAGGAGGCCCCGGAGCTGCTGGGAGGGCTGGAGCCCCTCTGCTGGGAGGACAGGCTGGGAGAGGGACTCTGGGTCAGGGAGGGGAGCCATGGGGTGAGGGGGAATGGTTTGACACTGAAAGAGGAGAGATTGAGATGAGATATTTGGAAGAAATTCTTGGCTGTGAGGGTGGTGATCCCCTGGGGCAGGTTGCCCCAAGAAGCTGTGGCTGCCCCATCCCTGGAGGTGTTCAAGGCCAGGTTGGATGGGGCTTGGAGCAACCCAGTCTGGTGGGAGGTATCACTGCCCACAGCAGGGGGCTTCGACTAGATGGCCTTTAAAGGTCCCTTCCAACCCAAACTATTCTATGATTCTATGACAACATCTGTAGGGCATCGTTCTCCTGTTTGCTGTGATCAGGTACGCTTTGGTATCACACAGGTTCCAGCATCAAGGTGCTTTTGGCCTCAGTTTCCCTCCCCAGAGCATGTGCTGCCCAAGCAGCGTCATAGGGGCAGGTTGCATCTCCCTTCACCCCCCTCTCCTCTGCAGTCCTGCTTCTCCTGGTGGCCTGTGGACCCTGAGGGACAGAGTAAGGACCAGGGCATCCTTCAGCGGCTGGGAAAACTAGTTTTATGTGGCTGATCTGAATTTTAGACAGGGGGCAGGACCAAGCCTGGGGGAGGGCTTTTCACCTGTTGCTGCTGTATGGAGCCCTTTCTTGTTCGATGATCTGGTGTCCTGTTGGATCTGGTGGCATCATTGAGGGCTTTAACCATATTGGGTCCTGGTGAGCCCAGTACTCAAGTGTTTGGGAGAAGATTTTGCCCTCTGAACTCCTGGAAGGGATGGGCAGAGCTCTTCTCCCTGCCGCACCGAAGGATGGAGGGGGACGGAGGGGGCTGGGGTTGACCCTGGGGGTCTGGGGCCAGAGAGAGGAGGTGATGAAATGTGCAGACTGTGGCATTTCCTGGTGGAAGTGGAACAGTTAGAATTGGCAAAGATGCAAGGAGGAATTAATGCTTTCCATTTTTGTTTGAAAATGGTGGAAAAATGTTAGAGTTAGGTGTTTCCTGGGTGGATTTTTTCCTTCTTCTTTGTCTTGCATTCTTCTCCTTTTGTTACCTTTTTTTCCCTGAAGAAAAAAAGATATAAAAGGGGAAATTTCACCCCCTTTCCAGAGTGTCAAAATGAGTACTAAGGCAATGAATTTTCCCCAGAGAAGTAATATTGTGAAACCTAACTTTGAAGTCCTTCCCCAAAAAAAGATTTATTTTTTTTTTTTTTTTTTACCAAAGCAATTATTATTTCCCCTCACCACCAATTTCCTTTCCAATCAGAGGAAACAAAACAAAAAAGGCTTCAATGGAAAATTTTGGACTCTGCCTCTAGTATTAATGAATTGCCTGTTGCTAATGTTCTGTCATTCATCTCAAGCCCTGGAGGTACTAAAGATGTGGAGCAAATGAGGATTTGTAGTAGCTATAGAGATGAATGAGTCAGTGCTGGAGACTCACTGTGTATTTTTCTGGGATACAGAGGAGGTAATTTAAGGAGGGATGTCCACGCAGGAGGGCTGGAGTGAGCTACACGAGGG